TTATTTGTTCTGGTTCTGTGAAAAATCTCCTTGGTAATTTGATAGGATCACATTAAATCTGTAGATTGCCTTGGGTAGTATGGCCATTTGAGCAATATTGATTCTTCCAACCCAAGAGCATGGGATATCTTTCCATTTCTTTAAGTCAGCTTTAATTTATTTAGTCACTGTTTTGTAGTTCTCCATGTATAAGTCTTTCACCTCTTTGGTCAGATTTATTCCTCAGTATTTTATTGTTTTAGATGTGATTTTAAAAGGGATTGTCTCTTTACTTTGTTTTCCTGCTAACTCATTGTTAGTGTGAAGAAATGCAACTGATTTTTGCACGTTAATCTTGTATCCTGCTACCTTGCTGAATTCAGTTCTTTTATCAGCTCTAGTAGTTTTGTGTGGAGCTTTTAGGGTTTTCTACATATAGTATGTCATCTGCATATAGTGACAGTTTCACCTCTTCTCTTCCAGTCTGGAGCCCTTTTATTTTTCTTGCTTGATTGCTGTGCCTAGGACTTCAGAAACTATGTTGAATAGAAGTGGTGAGAGTCAGCTTCCTTGTCTTGTTCCATATTTTAGTGGGAAAGCTTCCAGTTTTTCACCATTGAGTATTATGTTGGTTGTGGGTTTGTCATAGCTTTTATTATGTTGAGATATGTTCCCTCTATACCCACTTAGGTAAGAGTTTTTATCATAAATCGGTGTTGAATTTCATCAAATGCTTTTTCTGCTTCTATTGAGATGATCATGTGATTCTCTTGTTGATGTGGTGTATCATGTTGATCGATTTGCATATGTTGAACCATCCTTTTGTCCCTGGGATGAATCTAACTTGATCACAGTGTACAATCTTTTTTATGTGCTGTTGGATTCTGTTTGCTAATATTTTGTTGAGGATTTTTGCATCTATGTTCATCAGTGCTATTGCCTGTAATTTTCTTTTTTGGTAGTGTCTTTGGTTTTGGTGTCAGGGTGATGGTGGCTTCATAAATGAGTTTGGGAGTACTCCCTCCTTTTCAGTCTTTTGGAAAAGTTTAAGGACTGGTATGAGTTCTTTTTGTATGTTTGGTAGAATTCCCCAGTGAAGCCATCTAGTTCTGGACTTTTGTTTGCAGGGAGTTTTTTTTTTTTTATTGCTGATTCTATTTCATTTCTAGTGATCAGTCTGTGTAAGTAGTCTATTTTTTCTTGATTCAGTCTTGGTGGACGGTATGTTTCCAGAAACTTGTCTATTTCTTTTAGGTTGTCCAATTTGTTTCCATATAGTTGTTCACAGTATTGTCTTACAGTTTTTTTGTATTTCTGTGCTATTGGTTGTAATTTCTCCATTTTCCTTTCTTATTTTGTGTTTTCTCTCTTCTTGGTGAGCCTGGCCAGAGAGTTGTCAGTTTTATTTAATCTTTCAAAAGCCAGCTCTTGGTTTGATTAATTTTTTTTCTGTTGTTTTCTTTTTAATCTCTATTTTATTTATTTCCTCCTTGATCTTTATTTTTCCTTCCTTCTGCTGACTTTTGGTTTTGTTTGCTCTCCTTTTTCTAATTCTTTAAGGTTGTTTACTTGAGATTGTTTTCTTTTTTTGAAGAAGGCCTATATCGCTCTGAACTTCCCTCTTAGGACTGCTTTTGCTGCATCCCATAAATTTCATGTGGTTGTGCCCACCTCTTTTCTTACATTGGAGCCAAGTGGAGACAGTGGCTATGGCATGGCTGCATTGTGCCCCCCACCACTGACCAACAGTGGTACTTTTTTATAGGGGTCCCAGGCTGCTGTCTTCTGCACATACCCCTAGCCAGAGCTCACACTGCCCTCCAGTCCCCTGAAGCCACCTCTTTGCAGTGGGCCCCAGCTCTCTCCCCGGGCTCATCACTGATCTCTAGGAGCCAGTCCCATATTGTCCCTGCTGGCTCGCGTCTAGGGCTGGGGATCGCAGGGAACCCAGTTTGGAAACTGATTCCGTGCTAGTTTCTCTTAGTTCTGTATCCCAAGCAGCTGCCGTGTTCTCCGAGCCTCAGAAGCTCCTCTTCTGTCCCTGCTGACCTCCCAGCTGGAGGGGGAAGTCCTAGCTTGAGGGTGTCCTCCCTCCCTGCAGGACCGGTCCCACACCAGTTTTCATTTTCTTTTTTTGTCTTACTGTATTTTATGAGAATCCTCCTATATTTCAAAGTGAGAGACACTTCCAGAGTTCAGTAGGTGTTCTGTGCACTTCCATGGGTTTGTAGATGTAATTCTTGGTGTGTTTGTGGGAAGGGGCGAGCTGTCTCTAGTCTGCCATCTCGGCACCTCCCCCATCACAATGTCTTTATTTGGTTTTTGTACTTGAGTGTTTGAAACACTTGCTTTTTAAAGTAAGTTAATTTTTTTTTAATGTGAAAGGAAAGTTGGATAGTCACATCATATTTAGAATTTTTAGTCAACTTTACACTGATGGGTCTCTTGAGCCATAGAGAGTTGACTTGAACCCATCAGGTAAAAATGCCCAGTGTGCTTAGAGCCAGGTCTGGGGACCTTTTTATATAACTAAATGTGTTGCCCTTTTTTTTTTTTTAAATAGATACATCAAAAAATTTAGTTACCTTTTAATTTTAAAGAGACTGAGACGATCCTTTTATTTTATTTTTGGGGGGGGAGGGAGATAATGAGGCTTATTTTATTTTAATGGAGGTACTGGGGATTGAACCCAGGACCTCGTGCATGCTAAGTATGCACTCTACCACTGAGCTGTATACCCTCCCCTAAAAGTGTTGCTTTTAAAACAGTTCCCACAAGGTCCCTTCTGAGTTCTCTGGCCAGCCAAGTCTGGACAGGGGGTGGCTGCAGAAGAGCTCTTACGGGCCCCCTGGGGCCTTGTGTTTGCCTGCAGGGCCCGCGACTACTCGGCGCCAGTCAACTTCATCAGCGCGGGGCTCAAGAAAGGGGCAGCAGAGGAGGCAGAGTTGGAAGATTCTGATGATGAAGAGAAGCCTGTCAAGCAGGATGAATTTCCTAAGGATTTTGGACCAAAGAAGTTAAAAACGGTAACATCTTTATTGAAGGAATGTGGCCTTAGTAATATCCTTGGAAGGTCATTGTGGCTCAGGCACGTGCTGGCAAGTAGGGGGCTGGGCTGGAAGCCAGTCGTGCAGGCCTCTCCCTGTGGTGGCAGGCTTCCCTGAGGAGGGAAGTGTGCAGTGCAGTCTCTTCCTAACACGTGTCACAGAGACGTTGGCTTGTATGATGCTGCTCACATAACCCTGTGACTCTGGGCCATGTTCCCATCAGCCAAGCTGCCTTTTTTAGATTTTCCTTTTTTTTTCCATCAAATAAACTTTGATTTTTCTTCTTCTCAGGGTGGCAATTTTAAACCCAGCCAGAAAGGTTTTGCAGGAGGAACTAAGTCTTTCATGGATTTTGGCAGCTGGGAAAGACACACAAAAGGAATTGGACAGAAGCTTCTTCAGAAGATGGGCTACGTCCCTGGAAGGGGCCTGGGGAAGAACGCACAAGGTGTGGCACCAGTGCCCCGTCATCATGTGGGGGTGGCCAGGCAGAGGGGAGAAGAGCAGTTAGGGGGTGGTTGGCTTTTCTATGCTTTTTCACTTTTCGGAGTCCCGTGACTCTGCAGCCTGGTCCGCCTGTGCAGGACAGCTGTGCTCCTGAGCCACCTCACTTGATCGAAACTCAGGTTGCATAAAATACTTATTTCAGCAGGAGGGAGAGGTTAGGGTCTAAACAGGTGGCAGGCTGATAGGCTGAAGACAGGCTTTCTGGCCTGCCCAGTGTTTTCACAAAATCAAATTGGTCGCTAATACTTAAAAAAAAAAATCAGACAATTTCAGCTAAATTCTAGACTTGCCCAGCAGTGATGGTTTAGCTGAATCCTCACTGTCCGGGTCAGTACCCATGTCCTCCTTTCGGACGCATCTCCACGTTCCCATGTTGTCTTCACCCAAACCCACACTGTACTCGTTCACAGTAATTTTCCTGCACCCTGAAGGCATGTGAGTTTGTGGTCCCTGCTCACAAGGGTTGCAGCTTTGCAAAAAGTTTCCTGTCCTTCAGGAATATCCATAAAACATCGGGTATGACTTTTTTCACAGCTGAAGAGGTGTGGCTGTAGGCGTGGCCGGGCAGATCTGGCATTGGGTGCCCCCTGCCCCTCCTCTTGTCTTCCCACCCCCTGCTCCGGCAGGACAGCACCTCCTTCATTCTTATCTCCTTGAGGCCAGTCGCCGAGAATCAGACCAAGCAGTTAGATTCTTCCTGCAGGAAACTTGTGTTCCCTCTGTGTGACTTCCTTCCCGTGAGCGGTCACCACGTGCATGCCCTCAGTGCTATTCTCTATAATCCACAGTCCAGTCCCTGAGTATTACTAAGGTCAGACCCAGATTATAAGCTGGTGAGAACTCTAGGAACTAGAGTGAAGGTGGAAAAGGTGGCCTGGAGCTAGGACGGGGGACAGCTCTCACCTGGGACTCCAGCAGTACCGGCTGGAGGGGGTGGGTGCAGAGGCTGAGACGGGGGAGTTCTTCACTGAAATGACGCAGTCCTGTTGGTAAACTCTCTAACAGGAAAAACATTTATTTCCAAGGCTTAACCATGTTATAAAACAAGTAAAGCATAGGAGACATGAACTACTAAGTAAAACAGATGGAATTTCATGTTAAATGGCAGCTTTACCTCACTTCGGTCAGACTCAATACAGTATCTGAATTCCTGCATTTTCCATATTAATAGGCTTCCAAATGAGCAAAGCATAGACCCTAGTATGCAGAGTTCCCAGTTATAAATGAATATTACTGTCCACCAAAAAAATGACTCCAAGGGGAAATGGAAATGTGTATTGAGGACATGTGACCTGGTGGCAGCACACGGTTCTGTGGCAGAATAGACCCTCAGAAGCTTCAGGTCACACGGGAGCGGAACAGCGTTGCGAGGGTGGAGGAGAGCTCTCCTTCCCGGGCCACCCGGTATTTTGTGTGAGGACCGAGGAAGTGTGGTCAGTCTCCCTGCGTAGCTCATTCACATGGAAGAACTGCTGTGATCTGATGTCCCTTTCTCTGTTGCTGAAATTGGTCAGGCATCATTAACCCAATCGAAGCCAAGCAGAGAAAGGGGAAAGGCGCGGTGGGGGCGTATGGCTCGGAGCGCACGACTCAGTCCCTGCAGGACTTCCCCGTGGTTGACTCGGAAGAAGAAGCTGAAGAGGTGAGAGCCCGGAGATGGGGCGCTGCTGTCTGCCCTCGACTGTCTCATTCATGGGTGTGTTCGTTCATTCGTGGGCTGACTGCACACTGTGTGTGAGATGCCGTGCCAGAGGCTGGTGGTCCACAGCGCGCAGGCTCAGAGCCTGGGGGACAGGCACGCAGTGAACCACCACAGTGCAGCGAGGAGAGCAGCAGTGCCAGGAAGCAGAGGGAGAAGACAGGGCTTGGTGTGTGGGGACGGGGCCTGAGCCTCAGTATTTGTGAGATGGGGAGGGCAGGGCGTCAGGCAGCGTCACCCAATGGTCTTAGTGCTGCACAGGCACAGGGCTTAGCACAGAGCCCTGTGAACGTCTCAGTGGCTACTGAGTGTCTGTCACGGTCTCAGGAGCCCCACCTGCTGAAAAAAGTAGCCTTTCTTGTTGTGATGCACCATATCCCTCTGATTCAGGAATTTCAGAAGGAGCTGAGTCAGTGGAGGAAGGACCCCAGCGGAAGCAAGAAGAAGCCCAAGTACTCTTACAAGACAGTGGAGGAGCTGAAGGCCAAGGGCAGAATTAGCAAGAAGCTCACCGCTCCCCAGAAGGAACTTTCTCAGGTCAAGGTATGGGGCCCGGGACGCCCGGTCCAGGCTGAGGGCTTGGAAGACGTACAGAAAGTTACCCACACACCAGTCAATCACCGAACACTTGCTCATAAGTTCCCTGCGTGCCTGCCATCTAGGATCTTTCTTTGTCCTGTTTTTCTGGTGCAGTAGTGGCCTGTGGCCACTTACCGCCTGCACGGCCAGTCTCGTCGGCCCCACCCTGCGCCAGGCGCTCCTCGGGGCACTGGAGCGGGGAAACCAACAGTGTTCCCAGCTGTCTGGGAATTTAATTCTGTCCCTGTTATTCTGTTGCTAGACCTTGACTATTTCTGGTTTGGTTTGAGTTTGGAGCAGGTTGGTCTGTGTAAAGCCTTGTGTTTGTCTTAGACATTTGCGGAGGATAGAGTCCTAGAGGCACGGTCACCAGGTGAAAGAACAGGGGGGCCTTTAAGGCTCTTAAATCGTGGGAAGGTTGTCCTCACTCGCTGAATACAGGGTGTGGCAACACTGAATTTAAGATGATTAGATTTTCAACCACTGTTATGGGTACAGTCTTTGAGGTTTTCCATTACTGTCCCAAGCAGCCAGAGAACGAGGGTGACAGTGTCTGTCGTAGTTCAGTGTAGGAGCTTCTGTGTGTGTGTGTGTGAGTGAGATAGAACTCAGTCTTGAGTGGTGTTCTCAAAGGCCAGGGTGTTGTGTATCAGATTATTTGGGGACCTGGGAGGAAATGCAGATGTCTAGGTCACAGCTGGAGATTTTGGGTCAGGAGACCTGGACTGGGCCTGAGGACTCATGCGGACTGTGACCCAGGAGATTCTAATGCAGCTGTTTCATGGCTCACTCTCTTGAAAAGTGATGGTCGATGTGAAATTAGCTCATTTCCTGGTTGTCTTTGTGGGTTTTGTATGTTTCATGCTGTTTTTAAATTGAAAAAGAGTTGTTTAATTTTAAATTAAGTTTAAACAGCTGTACTGATGTATGCAGTACATTTTAGACAATTAGGGAATGCAGAGGCAAAAATATTACAAATACTGCTTTCCTCCCCATAAATGACCAGTCTTAACACCCATGATGTCCGTCCTTCCAGATCTTTGTCTAAATATGTGTGTGTTTTTTTTTAACCAACACTGGATGTTGTGATTATACATGTTTTACTACCTGCTCTGGTCAGTACAGCCTCTACATTTCCATGAAAATAGATTTTCATCTCAACTGAATCGTCCATATTCAGATTGCTTTAGTTTTCCTGAGACATCTGCTCCATCTGGTTTGTCCTGGGGGATCCAGCCCAGAGCTGCTTGCGGTGTCTGCTCGTTCTGTCCCCGGAGCCCCTTCTGATCTCGTGCAGCCCAGGCCCCACGGGGAGAGGCACCGCCTTCCTCCAGCTCTGCTGAGTGGTGGGGCTTTTACACGGTGCTCCCCCCGGGCCGCGGTGTGCGTCTGCTAGGGTGCCGAGGCGAGCGTTAACCCGCGCCCCCTCTGCCGCCTTCCCCAAGGTCATAGACATGACGGGCCGGGAGCAGAAGGTCTACTACAGCTACAGCCAGATCAGCCACAAGCACAACATCCCCGACGACGGGCTCCCGCCGCAGTCGCAGCCGCTGCCCCAGCCCGGCAAAGACGCCAAGGCCCCCGGCTTCGCGCTGCCCGAGCTGGAGCACAACCTGCAGCTGCTCATCGACCTCACGGAGCAGGAGATCATCCAGAACGACCGGCAGCTGCAGTACGAGCGGGACATGGTGGTCAACCTGTCCCACGAGCTGGAGAAGATGTCGGAGGTGCTGGAGCACGAGGAGCGGGTCATCTCCAACCTGAGCAGGGTCCTGGAGATGGTGGAGGAGTGCGAGCGGCGCCTGCAGCCCAACTGCAGCAACCCCCTGACCCTGGACGAGTGCGCCCGCGTCTTCGAGACGCTGCAGGACAAGTACTACGAGGAGTACAGGATGTCCGACCGCGTGGACCTGGCCGTGGCCATCGTCTACCCGCTCATGAAGGAGTACTTCAAGGAGTGGGACCCCCTCAAGGTGAGTGCTCGTCCCGCCTCTCCTCTGGGGCTCCGGAGGGCATGGGGCCGTTAGCCCACGGGCTCTCAGCTGCCATGTTTCTCCTCAGGACTGTACTTACGGCACTGAGATCATCTCCAAGTGGAAGAGCCTCCTGGAGAACGACCAGCTCCTGTCGCACGGCGGGCAGGACCTCTCCACAGACGCCTTTCACAGGTAGTCCGAGCAGGGCTGCGCCGGGAACTTGGGTCACGCTCGTTCACCCTGCACTTGTGGAGCATCTGGAGGATGCTGCCTGTGCTGGCTGGCCCGGGGGTACAGCAGACGCGTGTCTGCAGGAAGTAGGAAAGGCAGGTGGTAACCAAGAAAGCGGACGGGTAAACCCGGCTGCAGACTGAGTGCAGCCAGGGAGAGTGAAGAGGGTGCACACACGGGTGGGGTCGGCGGGGGTGGAATCGAGGTGGAGGTCTCTCAGAGGAGGTGACGTTTCAGCTGTGAAAGCGTGAGGGGCATCAGCTGTGCAGAGCGCACTCCAGGCAGGGAAGCACGTGGCATCTGGAGGGGCCCTGGTGACCCGGCAGCAGCCCAGCCAGAGAGGCTGGTCCTACCGAGGAGACGGCCTGGAATGGTGTGGGCGGCCCGGAGCGGGGAGGGGCAGGCACACGTCAGGCCGCCCCATGGGCTGCTCCGTTGGCTGTGGCCGGGTCGCTGTGCCACCGCCTTGTTCCTGCTTACTGCTCTGGAGGTGGGCGGTGGGTCCCGCGTGTCCGTGCAGCCCGCCGCCCCGCCTCTCGCACAGGCTGATATGGGAAGTCTGGATGCCTTTTGTCCGAAGTATCGTCACTCAGTGGCAGCCGAGGAACTGTGACCCGATGGTGGACTTCTTGGATAGCTGGGTGCACATTATTCCCGTGTGGATCTTAGACAATATATTGGACCAGCTCATCTTCCCCAAGCTGCAGAAGGAGGTAGGGCAGCCGTGGGAAACTTGGGGGCTTGTTCAGTGCTTCTCTCTGTGCTGTTAAAACGCCGGAATTAACAGTGTTCTGTAATGTTAACTCTAGCCCGTTGCTCAGCACTTTCCCCCAACCCCCCCTTAGCAGGGAATTCATTTACTCGGTTTCTTGAATGAAATTAGGATTGTGCCATGTCTGAGATGTAATACGATTGCACAGGTGTATTTGTTTGTGGGTCAGTTTCCCCGTTTGGGGAAACGTAGTGCAAGATCTTGCCTACAGAGCACCTTGGTCGCCTCTCTGTACCAAACGGGTCCCTCCATAAAATGGAGACTGTGTCCCGGACATGTGCAAAGGGCTGTAGACCGCGGCCAGGGGAGCAGGGCATCGTGTGACCCTGCCCCACCCGCAGGTGGAGAACTGGAACCCGCTGACAGACACCGTTCCCATCCACTCCTGGATCCACCCGTGGCTCCCGCTCATGCAAGCGCGCCTGGAGCCGCTGTACTCCCCCATCCGCAGCAAGCTGTCCAGCGCCCTGCAGAAGTGGCATCCCAGCGACTCCTCAGCCAAGCTCATCCTCCAGCCCTGGAAAGACGTCTTCACCCCTGGCTCCTGGGAAGCATTCATGGTCAAGAACATAGTGCCCAAGCTGGGTAAGGAGGCGGGGAGACACATCCAAGCCTGCCACTCTGGTGCTCTGGTTTCTGAGGCCGGCAGTAATCACCATGCTTCTTAAAACATGGCCTTCGAGCTCATGATGTTTCTCAGCGTAGAAGGGATGCCGTTTTGTGCAGAGGCTGAATATAAATGGAACCAGGGTCCCTTCTGTGGTCCTTCATGCTCAGCATGTCTCCTGACTGGCCCAGATGGGGCTGCTGGTAGTGATATAGCCACAAGTCTTCTGAAATTTTTGTGGTGTATATATAGAATCTATTCTAAACACAGAATTAACTCTGGGTTAAATGATTTTTTTAATTTTATTTTTTGGGGGGGTTATTTACATGGAGGTACTGGGGAATAACCCAGGACCTCGTGCATGCTAAGCATGCACTCTACCACTGAGCCATCCCCTCCCCACTAAGAAAACAATCTAGCAAGAGCTTAAAATTGTTCTCTAAAAGCAGATCAAGGGCTGACATTGTCCCCTGAGGACGTTGCTCTTTGTGCTTCTGTGGCTTTGCCTTATATGGACTGGGTTTCTCTTCCAGGGATGTGCCTTGGGGAGCTAGTCATCAACCCCCACCAGCAGCACATGGATGCCTTTTATTGGGTTATCGACTGGGAAGGGATGATCTCTGTCTCCAGCCTGGTGGGGCTTCTGGAAAAGCACTTCTTCCCCAAGTGGCTTCAGGTACGCTTCGTTTACGGTGCTGGGGGCACGGGTCTGACCGTGGGCACTCCCTCCTTGGATAACCGTCGGTGGGAGCGCCGTAGTCACTAAGGAACATACATACACAGTGGAGCAGGAGTGACTGCAGCAGGAACAGCCGCCACCACTTACTGAAGGTTTGCCACGCGCTGTCCTGAGCACTTCGCATTCTCTTCCCTCCTCACAGCAGCCCCCTGGGCTGGGGACTGTGCTTTCCCAACAGTGTAGGCTGAGCTTACAGGCAAGAGTATTTGGCTACCAAACCCGTGTCACCAGGACCCAAACAAAAGGAATGGCCCCTTCGGAAATTTTGCTCCCATTTGCAGCCACTGTGGATGCAAGAGTCTTACTTGTTCCTTTGTGGCAGGTGCTGTGCTCCTGGCTCAGTAACAGCCCGAATTACGAGGAGATCACCAAGTGGTACTTGGGTTGGAAGTCCATGTTTTCAGACCAAGTGCTGGCACACCCATCAGTCAAGGACAAATTTAATGAAGCACTTGACATCATGAACAGGGCCGTGTCCTCCAATGTTGGTGAGTAGGGATTCCATTTTGGAAGTCCTGGCCCAGAGCTCTGTATTTACACACACACAACACAGAATGAGAGTTTTCAGCTACCTGGGGGCTGCCTGAGAAGCTCACCGTCTGCTCCCAGACCCCAGGCTCCGTCGCTAGTTGGCTAGCACCCACCCTCCCACGCTGGGAGGGGCTCAGGCTGGGTTCACGCGTGTGCGTTTACCTCCGCGTCCCCCCTTCATAACCGCTGTGCGGCGTGGCGCTCGGGCGTCTGCTCAGCCTGTGTTGGGGGGGCTGCTCAAGTAAACAGCTCAGGCCGTGAAGTCAGGCAGACAGTCTAACTCTTAGTGGTAGTTGCTTAACCTCTCAGCCCATTTACCTGTTTACCTGTCAAATGGTATCCACTTCTAGGTTTTATTAAGAACCGAGGACTGTTACTGTTTGTGGACAGCACCCCTAGGTAGTGTCTCTGGTGTGTCAGCTGTTCAATTACTGTCTGTTCCTAAAGCTGTTCAGTTCTAGGGAAGTCACTCGGGCTCCATCAGGAGTTTGGGAGCTGACTCACGTCTCAACACAGAGGCCACTGGAGCATAAGCTCACACAGCTACAGAGAGGCCGGGACTATGATTTCTATCTCCTGAGCCTTTAGCTCTCTGTCCTTAGCCTACTGCATGGAGCGGAGTTACCCAGAGTCTGTGCTCTGCTCGCCCAGGTCCCTCCAGGCCATCCCTGTTTTCATACTCTAGACGTTCCTCATCAGCCCCTAGGCTCCCAGAACTGCTCCTTATCTGTACGTACCCCCCAGCTAACCCTGGGCCTTTGCAGTCCTGTATTACCCTTCAACGTATGTGTCTCAGCTCCCCAGATACATTTACAATTTTTCCAGGGTGGCGGACCTGTGTGGGTAAGTTAAAAGCATCACTAGTACAAGACATATGTTTTCAAGGTTCTAAAAGCTGCTTTTTTTCCCTTAACAGAGGCACTGGGAATGGAACCCAGGACCTCATGTACACCAAGCTTACACTTTACCACTGAGCTATATAACCCCCAGCCCCTAAAAGCTGTTTTTTTGAAAGGGTAGGGGTAAGAACTCAACCACTTACTCCATTCTCTGCTTGCTTGCTAAATAACTGTGACGGTTTCCATCCCTGAAGGACTGAGTGCCTTGCTGACACTTCATCTCTCTGGTTATTAGGTATTAACCAGAAATCTTTAGACCAGTTTTTTTATGTGATACCAGCCAGTTATCTAAACTTACCCCCAAAGGTGCTCAATGATCTGGCTTAGTGCTTTATGTCTCTGAGACACAGCTGCCCTTCTGTCTTGGTGGAACGCCTGTCCTCACCCTCCCTTCTTTAAACCCAGGTGCCTACATGCAGCCTGGAGCGCGGGAGAACATTGCCTACCTCACCCACACGGAGCGGAGGAAGGACTTCCAGTACGAGGCCATGCAGGAGCGGCGGGAGGCTGAGAACATGGCCCAGCGCGGCATCGGCGTGGCCGCCAGCTCTGTGCCCATGAACTTTAAAGACCTCATCGAGACCAAGGCCGAGGAGCACAACATCGTGTTCATGCCTGTCATCGGGAAGCGGCATGAAGGGAAGCAGCTCTACACCTTCGGCCGCATCGTCATCTACATCGACCGGGGCGTGGTGTTCGTGCAGGGGGAGAAGACCTGGGTGCCCACCTCCCTGCAGAGCCTCATCGACATGGCCAAGTAGACCGCGGCCGGGCAGTCACACCCGACAGGGACATATTTATGAATAAATGACATTTTAAAATAGTCTTTGAAAAAGGTGTCTGTTCAGGAGAGAGGCCCCTAGGTCATCAGGTAAGGATAACGCACTAAAGGTGTGTAAGTCTTATACCAAGCCCTCCTGCAGCGTCTCCTCCACGTGGGAGGGGAGCCTAGTCCCAGCTGACGTCTCTCCTGCTCTCTCTGAAATGGGGGGGGGGTCCCCTCCACGGCCACTTTCCCTGGAGTCTCCCGGACAGCTGCTCCTGCCTTGGCCAACAACACACACAGACACTACAGCAAGCTCACCTCCGAGGCTCAAGGCCCTCCTGTCTTGTTCCTGATGATTTCGAGATCCTCACAGTCCTGGTAATCTGGTTCTTCCCGAGAAGCCCAGGTGTCCGTGGGGAGTTGTACTAGCTTCTGTACAGGAAACCAGTGGACGGCGGTGTCATTAAATATGTCCATGTACTGTGAAGTCTGAGGAAACTCAAGCTCCTCCAGTCCTTTTAAAACCTGAGCAAAAAAATTCAAACGTATAACAAAAAAACCCATCCCCCTGGGATAGATGTCCATTTAACATGTTACCCTTTTAAAAAAAATAAGGGATAATACATATATGTAAGTACTTTGTTCAATGAGTTGCAAGCCCCAAAGGCAGTCCTTACATTGGGACTAGATACTGAGAATAAAGGAAATAAAGAGACATGCTCAAAGGTCATAGCTTCCTGGAACGCGGGCCGTGGGGAGAGCTCGCTGACAGCGCAGTGGCCTCTCCGTGCCTTCAGCTGGCCCCCCAGAAGCTCGCGCCCATGTGTGTAAGAGCAGACTTCTCCGTGAAGGAGAAACTGATTTCACACGCTTTTCCACCCCAGGCCCTTCATTCAAGTGGATACCTTTGCAATGTAGGGATAATGTTTCTGCAGAATCCTTGTCAACAATCTAAAAACAAAAAAATTTTTAAACATGATCAGGAGGTATAAGAGCTTTTTTTCAACTAAAGACATACAGAAAGGCAAGATGACCTAAATCAAGAAATTTTTTAAAATGTGTGATGTAGGGATGGTTAAGTAGTAGAAGACATGACTGCCCCAGTCAGCGCCCATTTCTTCAAGGGGAAAATGACAGAGCAGACACCTAGGCATCATGAGGCAGGAGAGGATCACACAGCTGTAAAAAGAGAAATCCAGTGTTATAAGGGAAGGGAGGAATTACTGGCAAAAAGATGCCTTAACTTGCTTCCCAGCTTGACTCAGGGTCGCCGTCTCCCAGCTCTAACCCTTTGTCCAGTTTCCTATGGAAAAGCACTTCCACGTACGACAGTCACGAAGTGTGTTCTGCTTGTGGGGCAACCTGAGGCATGGGCTTCAAGGACCCCAGCGCTCCCGGGCCTACCTTTCCTCAAGTCCTCTGAAGCTGTTCCCGATGACAACCATCTTGGAAAGGGCATCCGCCGACCAGTTCCTCCACAAGAGGTTGTTGTACAGCGCCGTCCCGCAGTGCGGCATGTAGAAGACGGTGGGCTCGCCGCGCACACTGCGTTTCCCTTCCTGGGGTACAGTGTGCACAGGTGTCAACGCTCACTCCTTACAGGGGGAGGGGGAGCGAGGGCGGTAACTGAGCTGTGAGGGCTCACCGCAAAATGATGGATGTGTTAACTTTACTTGAAATCATTTCCTGTATATAAATGTATCAGATCAACCGGTACACTTTAAACTTATGTGATGTTATACGTCACAACATCTCAGTGCAGCCGGAAAAATAACGAGCTGAGAGGAAGGCAAACTGAAGAATCAAATGGCAAAAAATGACGATGACGGTCCCTGGTGGGAGAGTCCCGTCACTACACAGGGAACCTATAAAATGACAAGGGACTAAAAGTCACGGAGGCCTGATGTCCGGAAAGAACTCACGTTTACTTCACATGTGTGTCTCATGAACACAGAAAACTCTGGACTAACGGAGGGGCTTCCTGGGTCCGTGACTGCAAGGGCTGGAGGGCCGGCAAAGGTTACTGTCCCTCGGGTACCATGTTCGGTAACCCTGCAGGCTTACTGTGTCCCTTTCTGCAGATTCCCATCATAATTGAGTCCTCAAATGTCCCCTGGGGGTACAAACACCCCGCCTCCCCCAATAACCACCGCTCTGCAGCCGTCTCCCTGGCCGGGAGCAAGCCCTCCTCCCTTGCCGCCTGGCCTGGGCCTCTCCTCTCCCTGCAGCTTCCATCGCTAACTGGCCAGGGTTCCCGACAGTCAGCTCTGCACCGCTGCCTGCAGTCCTGGCCCTGGCCCTCAGCAGACTCCAGTAGACCTTTAACTCCCTGCTCAGACCCGGGGAGCCTTCTTGGAGCCCCAACAGCACGGGTTTCCTTCCCTTCTCTGTTCTACTGGCTGCTCTGCCTCACTGATCTGTTCACTGCGTACCTGTTTACAGCCACACGCCTGAAGTGCCCGTGAGCTCCCTGAAGACAGGGACCGGCTCCCATTTACCTGGGTCTCCCCAAGCTGCCTTGCACAGAGCAGGCACTTGGAAAGATGGTCTGAGCCGAACAGCAGTGGTTGAGGACATCGGTGGCTGACTCTTTTCTCAGCTGGGCCTAAATGTTCACGTTTCATAATAAGCCATGAGACGGCAGTTTTAGAACAGAGGAATTCAGAGGAATAAGACGATTACTCTATAATCCCCAAGACAAGGCAAAACTAAATTCAGACGTATTTGCCTGTACTGGCTTCAGCCCTCTGCTTGTGCAATGATTTTTTTCCTGGAGCTTTCAGAAATCTTGACTCCCAACTACTTCAGGGGATGCCGGTAGGCCAAGGATTTACCCACGACTCAAAGCCAGGCGCTAAGGGTGTGACTGGGCTACAGCTTCAGAGCGGACATGTTCCCTCCCAGTTTATTACTTCCCCTGGGACAGGGTAAATTCCAACCAGAAGGACCTCATTTGAGGCACAGAGACTGTGTGTCCTCTTTCTCTTAAAGTGACAGTAAACACCCACTTCGCATAATTTCTGGACACAATTTTGCACACCTAATATGTTTGGCTCACGCCCTCTGTGCAATTTTTCTTCCTCACAGGCACAGCGTAGGCACACAATGTGGGTAACATACTGGAGGCACTAGGGAAGCGAGCGCTGAAAAGAGGGGAACTGCTATTTCAAGGAAAACTGGAGCCCGGGGACAGAGCCTGGGGACATAGCCCAGGCTCAGGGTGCTCAGAGCTGCACAGCCCACCCTACTCCCCTTCCTTAAACCACATACCTCATTCTCACTGAGCACAGTCACACCCAGGGTGTTCAGAACTGCAATTTCGAGCTGGCTGAACAGAGGGTCATACACCCAGCAGTGACTTCTGGGAATCTGCGGAGGGAAAACAAGTTGCTTATTCCAACGCCTGTGTGCACAAGACCGAGGGCGGGGGCCAGGAAGAGGAACAGAGCAACTTACCTGACACTTCTCCAGGAGGAGAAGCAAAAACGCTAGCTGGTTCCTAGCTATGACGCAGGTGGCAAAGTTCCCAAGGCCGTAACACACGCACTTCAGATGGCAGCTTCCTGTGACCAGGGTCTCTTCTTGGGGGGAGCCAGCGGCCACATCCGACTCACCTGGTGATGAGTCCAGATACAGGTTTCCAAGGGCTTCCGAGAGAGTCCCCGCAGGGGCCTTCAGTTGTTTCAGGTATTTCCGGAGACATTTGATGATGGTTTCTAAAAGAGCAGGCCCTGAACACCGTCAGAGGGCGCGCTCCGACCCCGTGAACGAAGTCATCCACGCCGGAGCCCGCAGACCGGGGAGAAGAGGAGCGGGGCCAGGAAGGCTTCAGCTCCTCGGACCTCACCCCAAACCTGCCGGGGACCCGCAGCCACGTCCGCCCGAGACTGACAGGCTGCCCACGGCCCACAGCCTCAGGGACTGTCAAGCGAAAACTAGGTTTCATTCTCGGGCATGGTTTCCATCCAACGCTCACGTGAGCCCAACCTAACTTAATAAGAGGCAACCTGGTAAACACAGGTTATGTTCTGAAATGCCATTAAAAAAATAATAGAGGAGCAGAGCTCTCAAAATTACACTATAAATAACAGGGAATAAGAATGATGTGTAAAAAATTAAAAGAAAAAAGGTGGGCTGGGGCTTCTTGAGACTAAAACCCTAAGTCTCTCCCCTTTCCTTGCACTGGTACTTAATTTAGTAGAACAAATCTGTACGTAAAGCAAAAGAAAAAGCAAACAGCCGTATGTCCCCATAATAAGATACTAATTTTCACTTAGCAAAGAGAGCTTTAAATAAGACGCAGGCTCAGAAAGGCTGCATGAAAAGCTGGCTCTTTTAATCCTTGCTGGGGAAACAACTGGTAAAGCTTTCTGGAAAACAATTTGACGCCGGGTATCAGTTTGGTCACTCTCTTTCACTTAATGATTCCACCGCTGGGAATATATACTAAGAAGATCACCCTAAATTTGGTAAAAAGCTTTATGCAAAAGGGTGCTCACTGCAAAATTACGTATAATAACTAAAAAACAAGTAAACTAAATGTCCCTTGATAATCTCAACAAAAATTACGTCGATTTATCAACAGTCTCGATAAAAATGAGTACCTATGGTATATGCACTCCATGTATTAGTATTTCTGTTGCCACACATTATGTCTGGGAAGAGATTATAGCGGCGTGTGGGGTAGGGGGAGTGTACAATGTCATGTCAAGGAAAAGAGCAGGATAAATACACACCTCAGCGACACTGATAATGACAACTAGCCGTCACTGCCTCCTGTGTAGCAGGGAAGCTCTGTTCTAAGCACTTTACTAAATGCCTCATTTAATACTCAAAATTATACTATACGTAATTATCATGTCCATTCCACAGATAAACTGAGGGCCAGAGTTCAGCACCCAGAGGCACACAGTTGTAAGGAGAGTCAGACTTGGAACCCAGCATGGACACCGCTGTGAAGCAAAAGGTCATCAGATGAGGGTGGGGGCCCTCCCACCCCGACTGCCTCCAGCCTGAGCCGGGTGATACCCACCTAGTGCTGAGTTCCAGAAATCAGAGATAAGCAGGTCCTCCCTGTTGAGAAAAAATGGCGTGGTCATCTCTTGTCCCTTTCAGGGTTGTTCCAACAGTGACCTTCCTCCCAACCATGATCTGGATGTGGGAAGGTGGAGGACCCTCAGATGCAAATCCCACCCGCGAGACTGGAGCATGATACACAGAGACCAGGTCCAGAGTCAGAGCAGCGTGGCTGGGCTCGGGGAGGGCAGGAGGCTTTCCTGGAGGAGGGCCTGATCCCCGGGGACAGGTCTGGCTGTTCTGTATCCTTGGTCCACAACAGCAGTAGGGGCACAAGTGCAGCTCCATAAATAGTGGGGGAAGGCACAGACCTCGCCTGTTCCCTCATCTCTAAAGTGGGGATGAGAACTGTACCTGCCACAGAGGGTTACAGGGAGTAACTGGTAACACTCAGCACAGTGCCTCGTACGGAGCAGGTACTCAGTCATGGCCTTTGCTGTTATACATACTTTTCAGGGGAAAGTAAAAGGGACAAAACCAAGGGCTGGGCTTTCTTTGAAGTCAACTGGTCCCACAAACCAGAGCAAAACACAGTCAATAGAAAATTGAAGCTGACTTAAAGAAATGGAAAGATATCCCATGCTGTGGGGTTGGAAAAATCAATATTGTTCAAATGGCCATACTCCCCAAGGTAAT